GCATATGAATGCTGCAGAAAAGATGAACCAGCTGGTTAATACGCATGAGTGAAAGAAAATGGATTGAAGTCACAAGTAGTTGGACTCAGTTAGTAATTTAAGGCACCTGAAATCAGGTATTAATACCTGAAATTAATGCCTCTTACTTATTTCCACAAAAACTAGAAAAAGATTTAAGTTCTTAGGAGTTTAAAAGAAAGCAATTATGTAAGTGGTTTAAAAAGTTTTTATAAGTATTCCTTGCTACCAGTCATTACCAAACTCTGTATATGATATTGTATACCTCCCTCATCACTTACATAATTAATTGAAATATTAACTACATATAAAGGGAAATTCTGGGAATTCCAAAACAGTAGATACTTATTCTGATGGTGTTTGGAAGCACAAAAGTGTAGCTGCCATTGAAATATTTCATTTAATTGCAACTAAAATTAATATGCCAGTTAAACTAACAGTATACTTACAATCCTGCATCCATTCACTATTTTATTGTAATAAATACATTTATTAACCTGCAATCCAAATCATTGTTTTAAATTTCATTTTGTAAGTAACATCAGATACAGGTCAAGTAACTGGTGGTACCTAGCAGCAGTAACAAAGCTATGAACATAGTTCCCATAATTGCCACTTTCACACTATAATCAATTTTTCTCCACACTGCAGAGGAATGTTTGGACCCATTCCAGTAAGAATCCAATGTAGATGCTCTACATCTGGATGTAGATGTCTTCTGGGAAGAACCTGTGTGTCTCTACTCCTGACGTAAGAAGAATTAGGAAGGTAAGAAGCCAGCTGCTTGAGAGAGTGCCACGCTTGTAATGCCTGTGAATTTAAAAGTAACTAAGAAGAAGTCAAAACCATGATTTATGCTACCTCTAGCATAAGACTGGACCATATTTAGCTCTTAGACACCGCTCTTTTGAACAGGATAGCTGTCACTATTGAGCAATGATTAATAAACAGTTCACAGGAATACACTTTAACCTGATTCAGACAAATAACAGAATGCAGTTAATTTCCCTAAATGCATGCAGTATAAAAGACAGAAAGCAGTAAATAGTTAATGCAGACAAATGAGATTGGGAAATTGGATTAAATAGAATGTGAAAAAGAAATAACGAGTTTATTTTATCATGAAATGAAAATGTTTCCACTTACCTAAACAATATCAGATGGAAGATCTATATCATGGGAAATATAGATCACAAATAGAGCAGCTGTAATAGCATACACAGAGCCTAACAGTGATTATGCATATTAAATTTAATTCAACACTTCAGAGATTAGCAGTTAGTAGACCTAATTCATTTATGTCTGATGCATACTACGTACCCATTCATTTCACCAGGACATTTAAAAATATTGGCCATTAATTGTACTTACTTTGTGGATGTTTGATTTTTTGATTTGTGTTGTTTAGGAGTGTCACACGGTGACCATACAGTGGGAAACAGAACACAGTTGTTTGCTTTTTCTTCAAAGGAGACCAATTGGCCAGTGTTCTTATTTAGTCAAAATATAGATTTTGGTTTATTTAGCAGGGTTTATAACTGACATAGGGAATTCCTTGGGTGCACGCAGCATATATGTTAGTCTATACCTAAAGCGCACATAAAAGGGATCTTCCAAGCTCACAGATGAAGAGTAACTTGTTGCACTCTATCTTCAAGTCACTTGTTGCGAAAATACATACATAACTGCGCTCATGGAAAGAAGAGGCACAAAGCTGGATGAGAATTAAAGATCTGCAGCTAGGGGCATCCTAACAGCGAAATACCCATTTCACTATGGCCAAGCCTGCTTGGAGGCTCAGCACAAGCAGACAGGCAGCAAGAAACAGCTTGTAGTGGCAGATTGGAAAGGGTAACCCAGCAGAAGAGAAAGATTGTCTGAGCTCAAGGGCTCTGAATTCAGGCAAGCTGCTGAGGCAAGCTGGTGCTCTGTTCATTGGTACTCCAGCAAACACTGCTGTGCTGGCCCTACAATTAGCATGGCTATTGTTTTTGCAGTGAGCTTTCTGGAAGTTTTGTGTATCTCATGCTTCTACTGAAATCCCTGCTTATTTTACAGGGGTGAACCTCAAATCCTCTTTGAGTTTGATGGTTTGGGGCTTGTGAGAGAAAAATTCCAGTTTCTAGTAGAAAGGTGAAGGGGAAAAAAAAGTGGAAGAAGAGACAAGGAGAAGGGAGCTCAGTTATAAATCGTGAAGCATTTGCCAAGAGTGTGATAAATAGTATGGTACATTAAAAAGTAGTTAAATTCATTATACCAAACTTAAACCTTTAAATAAAATTAATCTGATTTAAAACAGTCACAAGTCAGGAAACTCAGGCTTAAGAACAGGATCAGTTTAAAGTCATTTTATTTTAGGTTGGTTTATCAGCGTATTTACCGGGAGCTAATGTAACCTCTGCAAATCTTACACATCATGAAAACTCAAGCAGTTCTGCCAAGAGTTGGTGATAAGTTGCTATAACAGCAGCTTGGGGTTTGAGAAATGCACTTTGTTTCACACTCATGGTAACAAGTGACCTGGTGGTAATGACATCATTAACACATTTCACCTTTTTATGCTCTCCCGCTGGTATTTTACTCACACTGGTTTATGGGGGAATCATTTCACTTTGGTGCTTGAAGTCCATTGTACTTTTAGTGGTACTTTTAAGAAAATAAAGATAAAAGCGAGAGAAGATTGCCCTCTGTAATATGTGATTTGGGAGGAATACATCTGATTCTATCAGCAGATTCAATCTTGTATGAAAAATAACTTGGGAATTTTTATGGCTAATCAGATAAGATTGTGATTATTCTAATTCAGTTTTCCCTTCAGGAATGGGCAATACCCTCTTTTAATAACCTGTTATTAGGTACTTGTCAAGTTTTTTAACAGCTTCTCCACGTGTTTCTAGATTTTTATGCAAGGTATGTATATTGAAAACAAACAAAACAACAGACTGAATAGTTCCTCCATTCATTACATGACGTAGTCATTAATAATTCTTAATTCTAGCTATGCTTGAAGCAGGATCTTTTGTTCTGGTTGTTGCTATGTGTCAATATCCTTCTCTATGTACTCCTTCAAGTACTGAAGGAATTATTAAATCTACTGTTTCCCTGTTCTTTTCAAAAACTATCTTTCTGACACCTTTTTTTTTTTTTTTTTCTTATGAATCTAAGACCACTATCACCCATTTAACAACGGCAGTTTAATAACATCCTACACCTGAATTTGTTTACAAAAGCATTTGCCATTAACAAATTGCTTCCTGCATCAACAATGTGAAAGCAAACCTATTAACCCCCCCACGTTGGGGGAGGGGAAGGAAGAAAAGAAGATAAACTCACCCAACAGCAGAAAACATCAACAGTACCCTGGAGTGGATGGGGCAGATCATATCTCCATTGACAACATTTGGACGCTTATCGCTGAATTCAAAAGGATTGCACGTTGAAAAAGGATTTCAGAATGGGAATTTGTGCTCGATTTCCAAACAAAGCTAAGTATTTGACACCTTTATTATACCCCAAGTGCTCCGCTAACACAACAATAGGGGGCAGAACTGGGTTCGTCCTCGAGAAAGGAGAAGTAATTGCTGTCATCAGCTATCTAATGGAAGGTTGCAGACGTGGAGCCAGGCTCTTCTCTGAGATTAAACACGAAAGACAGGAGGCAACGGACTCAAGTTACAGCAAAGAAAATTCCGAAAGAACATCAGGAAAACTTGATTGTCGTGGCAGTCAAAAATTGGAAGTGTCGTCTGGCTGTTCAATCTCCATCCTTTAAGACATTCAGAACTTGTCTAAGTTTGACCCTGAGCAACCTTTTCTTTCATGCAGTTTGTTCTTGCCTTGAGTGGAGGATGTGAACCAGATGTCCACCAAAAATGGGAAGGAACAAAGGTTGTTTGTGGAACTGTTGGAGCTCTCAAGTCTGATTTGAGGAGATACATGTTAAGTGTACGTATTCAGGTGAAATTTTTAAAAGTCACGTAGGCCAAGCTGAATCCAAGCAGCACTACACCAACTTGTGCCAGTTGAAGATACAGATTTGCTGCAGTGAAACCTAAGTTCAACCCCCAAAGTTTTTGGGACTGAGGGCCAAATACACAGGCTATGATACACCAAGTTACTGTAGGGCACAGACATATGGCACACGTTACTGTGGTGACTTTGCTCTTACTTCTTACCTCATGGCAAATGAGATGTTCTGTAGCTCAGTCACCAAGCAAGCTATACCCTGTGCATCATGGCTAAATAATAATCATGTCCTAGATTAGCTCCTTTCAATCCATCCTTTGTTCACCAATCTACATCTTATTTTTCAAGTTTGAATAGATAAAAAGAACATCAGAAATTTCTGTAGTCTAGAAAATAAAATAGGGCCTTAGTCTCAAACTGACCAAAATACGACCTGTGTTATCTCAGCCAAGTCTTGCTTCTATCACACAAAACACTATTGCATCACTTGAGATGACCACCTACCAATTTCTTTCTAGACTACATGCTGTATGACACAAGCTTCACAGCTTCATTTTCAGTAGGATTGTCAACTTTTAATCACCTAGCAGAGTAGTTAAAAAAAAAAAAAAAATCTGTGGCAAGAAATGACATTAATTGAAGTCTGTTTGCCCCTCTCACAGTTCATTACGTAGTCCATGTTCCAGAAGTCTTCAAAAGACACTGCAGTCTCTCCATTAACTGTGATACAGCCGATCCCCTGCAAAGACTGTGACATCACAAGAGACATATGAATTGTGAAAGAATAGGGAAATTGTTTTTGCAATTACTTTTTAACCAGAAATGGTAATGCTCTGACTGGCTGACTTTTTGTAAAACATCACCTATACTTTGAGAGTTCAAATCCCTACATATGGGACTACGTTTTTTTACACTGCAAAATTAAAGACTTTATTTCAAGGAATTTCATTTAAAAGAAAAAATAGTAAATGGCACATCATGTAATTGCTATTTATTTTCATAAACATGAGGTATTTCAAAGTGCTATAAGACGCAGCACTAAATGTACACCGTTGGAAGAAATTAAACACAGAACTTTGCAGTTACCCAGTTCTATGCACCAAACATTAACAAATACATTAACTGGAAGAAACAGGCTAGGAAAAGGCATATATAGTAAATTTCTTTACAAAAGTTTCTTAGTTCAAAAAAGTGATAAAGTAATATCTACTCAAAACTTTCACAACTCATTTTCATACGAAAATATAAGTATCAAATTTAGTTATGTATCAGCATCATACTAAAGTATACAGGCAATGTAAGAATTAGTACAGTACATAACAGAGATTAACAATATATTTGTATACAAAAACATGCTCCTCAAACATTGAGGTATTACAGTACTTAGGTATGAACTTCCAGTCTAATACTGGCAGCAAAAGCCACCTCTCATAACCCAAGACATGTACAAAAGGCAAGTGTGTAGATGGTATTTACAGAAAATTCCCAGAGGGGTACAAATGCCAACCCCCTAAAGTAACATCTGTTAGAACATAAGCACCATAAAAATTAGGAATGAATGTTTTTAACTCAACTAGATGTCATCAGCAGCTCCAAATGCTCACAACAATTAAAAAAAAGAAATTAAAAAATCCACCATCTACAGTTCTTAAGAAGAAAAACAAAGGCAGTCAATTGTTGTTTGGTAGTCTTGCAATAAACTTCTTGCAAGAACATCCATTTGCTCCGTACCCGGATAATAAAGTTTGTCAATTACTTCAGGGACTGAATTGAAAGTAAAACCAACATTCTTAACGTCAAAAAACAATTTTTTTTTTAAAGAATCAAAAATGTGCAAAGTGGCAATGACTGTCCTGGTCAGCCAAAAAAAAAAAAAAAAAACAAAAAAGAAAAAAAAACAAAAAAGAAAGAAAAAAGTTTAGCAAGTCCGCTTGTATTCTATTTTCTTTAGCAACTGTTGTTGCCTGGCTTGCAATTTCTCCTTTTCTAGCAATAACTTCTGTTCCTCTGCCTGAAGGGAATGGACATATTCAGTGGCTTTTTTCAAAATCACAACTTTTGCAGCTTTCTCATTTTTAACAAGTTCTGGAACGTGGTCCCTTAACGTCAGGAAACTGGACCGTAGATCATTACGCCTCTGACGCTCCAAGATATTATGGTTACGTCGACGTTCACTATCCTCTGAATCAGAGTTTCGAGGACTTGAACTCTTAGACTTTGGTTGGATCATGGGTTTTACTGGACGGGGCACCTCGGCTTTTAACTTTTTCTGTGGTGGTGCATCTTCACTCTCCATATATGGAGAAGGAGCAGCATAATTATGCTGCTGGTGAATTGGTGCGCAACGCTTTAAAATCAGTTCATTCTGCTGTGTCCTGACTGATGGAAAAGTGGTATTTTTAGGACGCACTGTAATAGTGAGGGTGGTAACAGCCTTGTTGGAGGAGGAGCGTCTTTTCTCCACTGTCACAACATCTATTTCTTCTTCATCATCCTCTTCTTCTTCGTCTTCATCATCTTTTGGTTAAAGAAAATGAAAAATGAAATTGATATTATTCTCTCAGAAAATAAACATTAACATTTATTGACAAAATATGCACTTTAGAAATACCAATACAAGAGCTGATGGTAAAAAAAATAGGGTGTCCTCACTGTCCATAATCAAATATAGTTCTAAAAGATGTATATAACACGCACAGAACGAAAGACAAAAAAACAACAAAACAAAATAGATTTTTGCAAGTTTGGAAACTTTATAATGTTTGTTTCTCACAGAATATTTCGAGTTTGAAGGAACCCATAAGGGCTGTGTCCAACTCCTTTTCTTTAACCACTTCTAAATTTTAAGTAAAAGTGGGGCTACCACCCAACTAATCCCAGTGGCGGAAAGTTTTCATACGAAACGCATTCATTTTTACTACAGCTGCAGAGCTGGGGCACAAAGTACACGCACAGAGCCACAACACAGCCCTGGGTTGGTGGAAAAGCAGACGGGAAACGAAACAATCGCTGGGTTTGTTCTAGTGCAGAAGGTGAAGCTGCTCCCGCCGGGGACCCTTTAAGCCGGCGCTTGGTGCAGTGCCAAGAAGACAGCTGTTGGAAGTGCTTCCTCACCCAAAGCTGTCAAACCAGACATTAAAGGGACAGCAGGCTCCGCGAGCCGAGACGGATCGCCAAGTTTATGGTGACGATCATACGGACCGCTCCCTTACACACGCAGTCCTGCTACACTACCAAACCGGATGGGAGCTATCTGAGGGCATTTTAGGCTCTGCCAGCGTACAGACAAGGACCCTCTGCGGGCTGCCAGTACGTTCCAGCCTCCCCACACTGTAAACATCCTCCACCGACTGCATATCAGCATGGCACTGCCCCTCGCTTCTGACCACACACTCCCAACAACGGCCTCCGGAACGGCGCACACGCAACCCGGGACGGCAGAAAGACGTTGGGAAGCCCCAGGAGTCGCACAGCACCGCTCGAGCACACCGCGCCCGTTGCTGTTGGCCCACAGCCCCACAGGGAACCCAGCTCCGCGGGGCGGCCGCCCCGGGCCCCGCCGCGCCTGTTGCGGCTGCTGCCGCCTGCCGGCCGGCCGGCCCGCACCCCGCACCTCCCGCCCCGTCGAGGCCCGCCGCGCTTACCCGAGTCGCTGAGCGTGTCGTCCCCGGAGCTGCTGCTCCCGGCCCGGCTGTCCCCGGTGGGACGCGGCGGGCGGCTGCCTCGCAGGGTCTCACCGCCGCTCGGCACTGCCGCTTCCCGCTTGTTGACGGGGAAGGGGAAGACCACGGCCGGGTCCACGCACTCGGGCACGGAACCGCCCAGCTCCGCGCGGCCGGGACCGGCGCTGGGGCCGTTCGCGGCGGAGACGGCGGCGGTGGGTACAACCGGGGGCGGAGGCGGCGGGGCGGCGGCGGGCGGCTTGCCCTGCAGCTTCTCGCTGACCACCCGCTCCAGCTTCTCGCGGGCCGAGAAGCCGCTCCACATGCAGTCCTGGATGATGATGGAGTTGAGGTTGTTGCTCGCCCCAAGGCCCGTCTCGAAGAAATCCGCGCCGTCCGCGCCGCCCCACAGCTCGGCCTCGGGGGGCAGGAGGAGCAACTCGGACGCCCAGTCCAGGGGATCAGCGGGGCGGCAGCTCCCCAGGGCCGCCCCTCCCCACGGCAATGGAGCCCCTCCAGGGGGGTGCTCCTGCAGCCCGGCCCGGCTGGGGGACAGCGGAGGAGTGGGCAGCAGCTCGAACTTCTTCCATATGTCCTCCCCGGGGGGGGCCGAGTCCGGCCCGCATAAATAGAAATCATCTTCGTCCGGGTAGAAACAAGGCTGCAAGGAGTCGAACTCGAGGTCTGGGTTCTTGCTGATCATTCCCGGCATGGCGGGGCTCTCTGTGTCGATTCCCGGGCTGGGGACTCGTGTTAGAGACGAATTTTACGGTAGTTCCACCAAGGAGAGGAAAGATGTGCCCAGAACCTGAAACTAAAGCAAATAAATGGAAATAAAGAAACGAACACAATTAAAACACGAAGAAAGACGCCTATAATTCCCTATTATGTAGTGGGAAAAAAATTAAGAAAAAAAAAATTAAAAAGAAGTCCCATCACGGATAGCAAAAAAAAAAAAAAACCACAAACCAAAAAGCCAAACAACAACAACAAAAAAAACCAAACCAGGAGCCTTTATAAGTTAAGGAGGAATGCAACGCACCTTTTCGGACGCCGCAGGGCAGCGGCCATGAGCCGCTCCGGGGTGCACGCACACCTCCGGTCCTGCACGGAGCTCCGCGCTCTGCCCGACCGCCTCCAGCGCTCACAGCTGCACAGCCGCGGGCAGATACACGCCTCCCTGCAGAAAGCCCTCCTGATACGCGACCACGAGCAAAGGAAGTTTACTCCTTTTATCATTTCCAGCGTAGTGGGGAGAGAAGGGTGCAAAGGGGCACCCCGAGCCCTGCAACCCCATCAGGGGAATCCAGCAGCAGCAAACACCGACGCGCACCAAAGGCATTAACACAGCCCAACAAAGCCCGACTCGCTACAGGAAGTTTTTCTCCCTCCTTGCAGTTTAACACGAGAGCCGCACGTTTCGCCCCGGGGAACAGCGCCCTTACCTCGGTGCCCCCGCGCTACCCGCGGCCGCTCGCCCGCAGCCCCATGCTCCTCTGCATCGGGCATTGATACCGAAATGAGTTCTTAGTCCCGACCCAGCGAAGGGAAAACGCTGTGCTGGGTTGCGAACAGCTGACGGAGAGCAAAAGGGGGAGGAATAAAAAGAAAAAAAAAAAACACAACAAATCCGTGCAAAGCGCTCTGATGAAATGCACCGAAACGCGGCTCAGCTGCTCGCCCCCGCCCCGCCCCCTGCTCCTTTCCAGCATTGTGCGCTTCCCTGCTCCCGAAATACACGAAACCGTTAAAAATGCGAAGCAGCAAAGAGGCACCTACAGAGCGCGGCGAGCTCGGTGCGACCGCTCCGCAGCACAGCCCAAATATCCGCTCAATGAAACCCCCATTGAGGGCCGGCGGAGCGCTGCCGCTCCCGTCCCATCCTCCCAGCTGGATGTGGGATTGTATTTATTTCATGGGGGTTTTGTCCTCCCGCTGCTGGCAGCCCAGACCCTGCCGCTTCCTCCTCCTCTTACCTCCCCGCTGCCGGCGGTGGGTGTTGCGAGGGGGAGGAGTGGCGGGGTGGGGGGAAGGGAGGGGAGGAAAAAAAAAAAGCAAAAAAAAAAAAAAGCTGACCCACCCGGGGAGGAATAAAGAAAAAGCACCCCCCCCCCCCGGGGGGGGGGGGAAGCGCGGCGTAACCCCACCCCCTGATTTCCATAGAGGAGGGAGGTGCCTCCGCTTGGCGCCAAAAGCCCCATTCGCTCTTTATTCTCCGGCGCGGGGCACTGCCCGGGGGTGCGTAGCTCGCGGGGCCGCCCCGCCCCGCAGGGACGCGGCGCTGCGTGAGAGCGGCGGCCCTATCTGCGAACACCGAGGAGGAGGGGAGGGAAAAAAAATAATAATAAAGGAGAGGAATAAAGGAAGTGTCTGGAATGCGGAGTCGTCCCCGCTCCGAGGTTTATAAAGAACTAACGCTCGTCCTGCGGTGATCGCCTCCCCGCTCGCCGCGCACACCTCCGGCCCCGCCGCACCGCACGGCAGCTCCCGGTCGGAGCGGGCGTTCCGCTGCGCGCGGCGACACCTTGCGGAGGGCCGTAGGCGCGGCTACCGCGCGCGTCTCCCCAGCGGCGGACACCAACCGCTCTGCCTCCTTCCCCGGAGCGGCGGGGAGACGGCGGTGCGACTCCGATCCGGCGGCCGCTCGGGGAGGCGCCTCCCTGCTCGTAGGCTGCAGGTTGAGGCGGGGACGTGGGCGTTGCTCGCGGGAAGGCTGCCGGCGGCCGCTTGTTGTGCGTCCGGGCGGGGCGCCGCCTCCCGCAGCCGCCCGGGGTGAACCCGGCGGCTTCAAAAGTGGCAGCACCGAGACAGGGTCTGTGTGAGAGTCGCTGAGGAGTAGCTTGTTTCTAAGGCCGGAGACAGACTGCAGCAGCCCCTGTACCGTACACCTTCACCATGTTCCCCCGTTGTGCCTCAGCGCCTGGGTTGCGCTGTCTTCTGGGGTGATGCCCGCTTGTCTCCGGGTTGTGCTTGGGTGGCCGAGGCTCAGGTTTCAAGGCCCCTCCAGGAAAGTGAGGTAGCCTTAAGCGTTCACACTGTTGTTTGAATGTCCGCTGCAGAAATGAAAACATGCAGAGGGGTTGGCCAGATGGAGCTGGTTGGGCTTGGCTGCAGCACAGACTGCTGAAGAAGGAAGATGGCAGCTTGTAGGGCTCCCACCTCGGTGTGAAGGCACTGCCCTACACCATCATGGCAGCGGCTTGGTGCATCCATGCTGCAGCAACCAACAAACAGCTGTGTGCAACCAGCGTCTGGGTGGCAACCAAGGCACGAGGCACAGGGCAGTGGCAGCTCAACTAATGGCAAATGCTTGTATGTGTTTTGATGCATTGCCTAAACACAGTCCTAGGAACAGCAAAAAAAAAGTATAGCCTTGCTTTCTGTTTGGGTACAGCAGTTTGAGAATTTTTTTTTTTTTTAAAAAAAAAAAAAAAGATTTTTTTTTCTTTCTTTTCTGTATTCATGGCTCTGTTTTCAGGCAACATAAATACATTACCTGTGAATTTTCAAGTGGAATGTACAGAGTTGCAATCAGACATTCAACTAAAAAAAATCTGGTCATGTCTCTTTAGCAGACTTTTACAAACCATCTTTTACTAGAAAAAAGCTTCCATTGCTTCACAGTCGCACATTATTAATGCCATCACTTTTTGGCAGTATGCACATTTGGGAACAGCTATTTTCAAGGGTGAAGCAGAGGAAGGGTAAAATTTCATCAAAGATCTCTGATGAACATCTTGAGTGCTCCCTGAGAATTGCATCCACTGCACAGTCCAGCTTAATGTGTTAGTGTCACAGAAACAAAATCAAATATCCCACTAGTTTTATGTTTTTGTTGCTCTCTTTTTTATGTTTTAATGAATATATATATATATTTGTTTAAAAGTTGTGTTACCTATATGCATTAACTTCATCATCAATTTTATGAGGGCCTCTCCAAAAGTAATACTTCCTATTTTGTTATATCAGCTCATGACATCAAAGGCAGATGTTGATAGATGTATGGCAGTAGAAGTTGAACCTTCCCACTGGTGTTTCATTACATTTTGTTGCCATGTGACAGATGGCAGCAGAGAGGCAGTCTGACATGGAATCTAACATGGAAGTGCAGGTGAAGTGAAGGTGTGTCTCTAAATTCCTTAATGTAGAAAAAATGGTACCCACTGACATTATTGCTGCTTGCTGAACATTTATGGAGACCAAACATTGGATGTGAGCACAGTGAGGTGGGTGATAGTTTCAGCAACAATGCCATCATAGCAGCTGTGGAAAAGTGGCTTGCCTCTGCTGGTGCAGATTTTATTGGCGTGGCAAGCAGGCTTTCATTCATGGCTGATGAAAATGCGTAGCTAATGGTGGTGACTGTTAGAAAATAGTACTTTTTAGCTGGGAATTTTCTCTATCAAATAGCGTTATTATGTTATTTGTATTGGTTGCATTTTCTATGGAAATAAATAGGAGGCATTACTTCGGGAGCATTCTACATATATGCAGCCCAAGACATTTCCTATTCACTCAGTGCAGCCCAGGCAAGTCAAAACGTTGGACACCCGTTGCTCAGCATGATTGCAGTTGAAGTACAGGGTCCCGAAGGTGAGTTCAGATACTCGCTTGAATTACAACTTGGCTAGGAGGTGGCAGCTGTCTGTCATGGAAGGGGCAGCGCACCATGAAGTGGAGTAGCACTGGAGCCCTGCTGGATCTGGCAGTATGCTGTTGAGATGTTTGGGGTGCCTGGATTTGGTGGTTTGGCCTCTATTCCCAAACTGCACTTTGGATTCAAGATGGCTGATTGCATTCATTAGCTAATGGATGCTCAGCACCCTGGAAACATGAAGCTGTAAGAAAGCCCTGAGCTTTATTTGTTTGGGTGGTTTGGTCAGGCAAAAGAGTGTAGGTGTTTTTTAATTTATTTCTTCTTCCATTTCAGTAGCCTTTAACAGGTTGCAGACCATTGGTTTTACCACATGTAAATAATTTATTCATGCTCATCATTTGAAGTCTTTTCACAATTTACACAATTATTTATGATTTAAAAGTAATTCTTATTATCAGGCTGCCTTTAGTATCCTTCAAAATAATTCATTCTATCAATCTATCAGCTTTTAGTCTACTGTGGTGTGTAGTATGATATCTTTTGTACCTGAATGTGAACATTAATGAAGGATGATGCTCAAGAGAAAACTTTTAAAGTAATTTTCACTGTGGGAAAACAGAAAAAAAAAAAAGGAAGTGAAAAGCAGTACACTGTGAAGCACTGCAGTTGATAAGCACTAATTCTAAAATTCTAGGTCTCTTCCTTTGTCTTGAACATTTAAGAAAGACATGAAAACATTGTGCAAATCTTTTAAATGACTGCACACATCTATGTGTTTGGTTTTTTTTTTTAGTTGACACATGGCTATTGTATCAATTTTTCTTTCTTTTATTTTTTGGTTCTTTGATCCCTTCTGTCTCTGAAATAGCATGTATCAGGAAGGCTCTAGGCAAGCAGACACCTGAAATTACATATAGTTATGTGCACTTACAATTACTTCATGTCATTGAAACAACCTGGGAGTTAAGAGGTGTTTTAGTATTGGGCCATGATGAAGACCATAGAATAGTTTAGGCTGAAAGAGACGTTAAAGCTCGTCTAGTTCCAACCCCACTGCAAGGATACTTCTCAGTAGACCAGGTTGCCCAAAGCCCCATCCAGCCTGGCCTTGAACACTACCAGGAATGGGGTATCCACAAATTCATTGGACAGCCTGTTCCAGTGCCTAACCACTCTCGTACTAAAGAACTTGCTCCTAACATCTGATCTGACTCTAAAGTCTTACAGTTTAAAACCATTATCCCTTGTCCTGTCCCTACACTTCCTGATAAAGCATCCCATTCCAGATTTCTTGTAGGCCTTTAGGTACTGGCTGCAGCCAGGTCTCTCGGGAGCCTTCTCTTCTCCAGGCTGAACAGTCCCAGCTCTCTCAGCCTGCCTTTGTAGGAGAGGTGCTCCAGGCCTCTGATCATTCTCGTGAGCACCATGTCCTTCTTGTGTAAGGGCTGCAGAGCTGAACACAGTACTCCAGGTGGGCTTTCATGAAAACGGCATACAGGGAGACAATCACCTCCCTTGCCCTGCTGGCCATGCTTCTTTTCACGTTGCCCAGGATACGGTTGGCTTTCTGGGTTTCAAGCACCCAGCACACAGCTCGTGTTCAGTTTTTCATCCACCAGTACTTTCAAGTCCTTCTTCTCAGGTCTACTCTTAATCTGTTCTCTGTCTCACCCTTGTATTTTGCTTGTGATTGCCCTAACCCATGTACAGGACATGGCATGTGGCCTCATTGAGTGTAATGAGGCTCACAAAGGCCCAATTCTTACACCTGTCAGGTTCCTCTAGATGGCATCCTTCTTTGTTGGGATGTATATTTCCTGGTCTTATAGGAGATTATCCAGTTTTTGGGGGCTCGTCTTCCTTTCAAGGCTTTATCCCATGGAGCAAGCAGATCCATGAAGAGAACAAAGTCCAGGGTTGTGAGCTTGCTATGTGCTCTCCTTGCTACCACAGTAATATTAAACTCCACTTTCTCATGATCACCACAACCAAGACTGCTTTTGATTTTCACATTTCCCACTAGCCCCTCCTTGTTGGTGAGAACAAGGTCCAGCATAGTTCCTCTCCTTGTTGGTTCCTCTATCATTTAGAGAAGTAAGTTACCATTAGCAGTTACCTCCTAGATTGCTTGTGCTCTGCTGTGCTCTATCTCCAACAGATAACCTCAGATAACCTGGATTACATGAGGCTGCACCTATGGTCTATAAAGGGGCTCATCCTCTTGGTCTTTCTGGTTTAGAGGTCTGTAGCAAATCCCCACTATAATGTCACCTGTCCCTAACTTTCCTTAATCCTGACTCATGAAGCTTTGCTTCGGCTCCTCATCCATGCCCAGGTAGAGCTCCCAGCTGGTCAGTGACACGAAGGGTGATACTGCTTCCTCTTCTTCCTAAAGAATCCATGTTCTTCATTCCAGCACTGCAG